GCCACCACCTCGCCGCAGCCCCCCGCCACCCCCACCTCCGAAGCAAGCGCCACCACCACCGCCAAGAAGGATTGCCCCGCCTCCGCCGAAGCTGCCACCGCTACAGCCTCCTCCGGCACCGGTCCGCCCTCCACCACTGGTGCCGCCGCCACCGAGCCCGAACCACACCGTCATCATCGTCGTGTTCGTCTCCCTCGGCGGCCTTCTCCTCCTCGCATGCCTCGCGGCGGCACTGTTTTGCTGCATCAAGAAGAGAAAGAAGAAGATGGCCGCCAAAAGCGAAGACGTGGACGTGGCGGACCGTGTGCATGTCCACGAGACTGTCGTTCCAGGGCCCCATGGCCAACAACTGGCGACCCGGTCGATCGACGAAGGTATCAAAGTCCATGAGGTGATCAAGAAGGGCGCGGTGACCGGTGAAGCTTCACTTAGTGAGCCTGCATCGGGGAAACAACGTTCGAGCAGCAGGACCGGCGGCGCTGGCCCTTCTGTGACCAGTGACCGCCACTTTCTTGAGCACAAAGGCTAGCAGACAACAGAAATGGTCGCCAGAGCTCTCAGAAAGATGCATGATTCTTGAACGAGTGTGGTTATTCGATTGCGTGCCTGTTTATACTTCTTACCATTCATCGTCACCTACCGTGTGTATTGTGATCATTCAAGAGCTGTATTCGTTTGCAAATAAGTAATACGTTCCCTGTATTCAATTTGGATGAATTCTACATACGTTCTTGTGGCTACCATCAGGTGATTAATTTAGTGCATAACTTGGAGTTACGAGATTGTTTATGATGGTGGCAGCTGGTGGGTGACCCTTATTTGTAGACCATGAGCTTCATAACATAATTGATCAAAGAACAAAGAGAAAGCATATTGATAGTTGTCGATGGATCGAACATAACAACGAAAGTTCCAAACGTTAGACATCGGGTGTAATCTTGATATACTTATCTCAATCATCTTATGATTCATGAGCATGATTAGAGGATAATCAAGCTCTACTCAACCTATATAAATGTATAGCATGCACTCAGCAATACAAAGCATCAACTTATGTTTTCTCTTCGTGGTATCAAAGTCTTCTTACTTCCAGTAAAACTTATCAATGGTAGATTGATTCTCCATGCCCACAGTGTTTTCTCATTGGCATCTCCTCGATCTCCTCCTCACATTGCATGAACACAATAGATAACAATTCATCCTCGTTGCCACGATGACAACAATTACTCTTTCTTATTGGGGAACAACAATCAATCTCTCCTTATTTGCTCCGATGACAGGTCGCAGCTTTGCTACTCGATGGATAGCTTAAATGATTATATTGCTTGTTGTTCTCCTTCTCCAATGATCATCCCCCATCTTGTGATTGTCCTCCAATCATGCTCATGAATCATGGGATGATTGATACAATAGAAATGCAATAGTTAAATGTATCAAGTTTATATCATATCAACCATTTGATGTATGTTTTGTGATCGATTCTTTAATAAGTATATTACCTAATATGTATGTATGCATGTATAGTTAACATGAATATAACATAATAAATATATTACCTTGCATTGGGTAATATACTATTTAGATCTTGTGGATGACTCTATATATCCATTGTGTTTACAGAGATAACGACGTCATCGTGAACGATGGGTTGGCGGATTCCATGGATACCAAGAATACCGCGCTTAACACGGCCTCCGAAGATAGAGCCACCGCCAATTCGTGAACCCTTACCTCCGAAGCCACCGCAGCCACCCCCGGTGGAAAAGCCACAACCCCTACCTCCTAAGAAAGGTCCGCCACCTCCACCTCGGGATATAGTGCCGCCAGCCACATCGCAGCCAACACCCCCATCTCCGCGGCAACCGGCGGCAACCCCAACTCCGCCCAAAGGAATCTCCCCGCCTTTACCAAGAGTGCCATCGTTCCCGCGGGCTCCACCACTGAGGCTGTGGCCACCCCGCCTCAGTCTAAATGGCCCGCGTGACACCGCCATCGTCGCCGGGGTCGCCTCTCTCGGCGGCCTTTTACTCCTCGCGTTCTTCGTGGCGCTCCTGGTTTGCTGCATCGTGAAGAGAACGACGAAGAAGAAGAACGCCAAAGGCAAAACTGTGGACATGGAGGCCATTGAGACTGTACACGAGACTGCAGTTCCAAAACCCCATGGCATCGACGAACATATCGTATTGCAGGAGATGATGAGGATGGCCAAGATGATCAGTGAAGCCTCACGCAGTGAGGTCGAGTGGAAGAAACAACATTGGAGTGGCGGGAATGGCGGAGCCGGCCCTTCTAACGCCGATCACCACGACGTTCTCGAGCACAAAAGCTAGCATGCAAATGTGCGATCGGAGAATGATATCGCATGCGATCATTCTCCATTTTATGTTGATGGGGAGTCGTATGCATGATCGTTGCTTATCACATGATATAGTATGCTATGAATGATATCGCATGCGATCATTCTCCATTTTATGTTGATGGGGAATCGCTCACATGATTAGTATGCTATGAAACAAACAACTTAGTTTTAGAGTTTTATTAGTACAACACTTTTCTTTTGTTGTCTAATTATTTGATCATTTTAATTGGGATGATTTCTCAAAAAATAAAGTTTTGGAGGTTCTTTTATATCTTTTTTTTTATAATGCTTAAAAGAGAGTTCTTTCTTTTTCCGAATGATCATGATAACCTTTGGTCCAAAAAAAAAAAAAAAAGAGAGATTATTTTTCTATCAAAATCTTGTTGCGTTAGATCGAATTCAATCCAACAAGTTCAATGTTACATCGAACCGATTACAATATCTATATCTTTGAATGAAATTATAGTATCTTAAATGAACAAAAATATTATATTTTTTTAAAAATAAACCTAAATTTAAAATTAAGGAAAAGTAACATTCTTTATTTTGAGATATGCCATCCAAAATCATTAAAAAAAACTCTGGAATAAATTATTTTATAAAATCTAAAATATATAATAAAATCAATAATTAAGAATGATGGGAATTTGAATAAATTACAATGATAAACAGTGTAACTTGATAATGACTATTTTTAAAATAAATAAATGAACTTATTATTATTTTTAAATATATGGACCTAAATTTAAGCTTAAGCAGAAAAAGGAGGATATATCAATTTTAATTTTAATTAAACCAATATAATATTATTTTTAATCCAAAATTATTCAATAAGATTTTGACTTGGGAAGCTATTGTCTTTTTTTTAAATTACTAGAGGTATTTTAATTATCTGAAAAAAGAATAAGGGGGCCTTATGTGGCATTATAACAAGAGAAAGATTTAATGAAAAATAAAAAGCAATAAAATCATTTTTTTTTTCAAATGGGAAAACAATTTTTTTTCACAGAGTGCATTTTTTATCATTTGAAAAAGGAATAACTCTCTAATGCTATTACGAAAAAAAATCTTTTAAGGTTTTCTCAAAAAATCACCTTTCTTATTTCTTTGCTCTTAAGCCAATTTAAGTATTGAGATTGAGAAAAGAAAGAAAAAGTAATAAATCACTTTTTATTTCTTTGCTCTCGAGGCAATGTAAGAATTGAGATTGTGAAGAAAGAGAAAGTTGTAAAATCAAAATAGAATTTGAAGAAAATGAAAGGTAACAAATAGGAACTATTGAAGGTCTAAATTGATTGACAAATCATTTTGGATTTTTCAAAAAAATTACCATTTTTATTTTTTGCTATGAAGCTAATTTAAGAATTGAGATTGAGAGAAAAAAGAAAATGTTGAAATTCATTTTTTATTTCTTTGCTCTTAGCCAGTGTAAAAATTGGCATTGAAAAAAGAGAAGGTTGTAAGTTACTTTCCAAATTAGTAAATCACTTTTCAAATAAAAAATATACATTTTGATAAAAATGAAAGGTAAAAAATAATGGGAACTTGTAAAAATCTAATTTGAGGGGGTTTCTGCTTAATAATTCAGGTGCATAATTGTCAGGTGTAAGAATTGAGATTGAGAAAAAAAGAAAAAGTTGTAAATCACTTTTTAAATCAAAATAATTATTTAATAAAAATAAATAAAAGTAAAATATTCTTAAGAAGGGTGAATTCCTGAAAAATATTCTTATTTTTTAAAAATCACTTTGCAACGCACTCTTATTTAAATTTTTTTTGAAATAATATTTTTTAAATAACTCTTTTATCCCTCCTTTTTGTTACCCCTTCTGCCCCCATCTCTATCGTTGCTCTCGTCAAAGGGAGGTGGTTCTCATGCAATGGAGAAGGTGAGGGGCTACAAGCGATGTTGAACTCTCGTGTGAGGGTTTTGGACAGCGACGAGACGATGAAGACAATGAAAGAAGGGTTAAAATAGTCTTTTCATATAACCATGATCATTGTTTTAAAATTTTTTCAAAGTAAAAATATTCTATAAAAAATTTTGAAAAGTAAAAGATTTTTTTAAGAATTTTTCAATTTAAGAATTGAGGTTGAGAAAAATGAGAAGGTTGTAAATCACTTTTTATTTCTTTGATTTTTAGTCAATGTAAGAATTGAGGATGAGAAAAAAAAAAAGAATGTTGTAAATCACTTTTCAAATTAGAATAGACATTTGATGGAAATGAAAATAAAAAAAAGTAGAAACTATTTAAAGTCTAAATTGGAAGGTGTTTCTACTAAATCACCTTTTTTTTTGCCCTCAAACCAACATAATAATTAAAATGATTAAAACAGAAAATTATAAATAACTTTTTATTTTTTCTTAAATCTTCTCCTAAAAGAGAACTAATAAAAGCGAAATTTGAGGGGTTTTCTTCTAAATCACAGATGAGAGGATTTGCCAAATCCACTTTGGGCTTTTCCAAAAAAAAAAAATCATCCTTTTTATTTCTTAGCATTTTAGTTTTTTGAGAGAAAAAAATGCGAAAGTTATAAATTATTTTATATTTATTTGCTCTTAGCCAATTCAAGAATTTAGATTTAGGAAAGTTGTAAATCACTTTTCCAATCGAAGTAGACATTTATTGAAAATGAACAGTAAGAAATTAAGAACTACAGAATACTTATATGTGAGGGGTTTTTTATTGAATGTTCTTTTAGTTTTTTTCGTCATGTAAGAAATAAGATTGAGAGAGAGAGAGAGAGAGAGAGAGAGAGAGAGAGGGAGAGAGTTGTCCGTCAGTTTTTAGATCGATATATATAATAATGGAAATCACAGTTTGGAACATAGTGAAAACCAGTGGATGTCAAACCGGCGAGGCGTTATTGGCTTGCGGTCCTCTTCGGCGGCCTTTCCCGCATTCCAAATCGGTTAATCAGACTTTTAAGGAGTGCACGCGTCACCGGATTGTGCTCCGGCGATAGGGAGTCAGTGGTCGGACGGGCTAAGCGAGCGACGTGCGAGGGAGAAATCGCATTTTAAGCTCTTTGCAGGTGCTCTAGTTTCTCTTGGTTTCTGTTCTTAGTGGAAAGGTCTCATTTTGATCTCCCTTGCTTCTGATCTTAGTTTCGTTTAGCGTTTTGGTTGGTTTAGGGCTTCCGGCAGTGGAAAGCAGCGGCGAGAAAAGATGAGATTTTGCGAGAGGTTCTGTGTGAATTGCCGGTATTATTTCTCTCTCAAGTATAGAAAGGAGGCATTTTTAGAACACAGCGTCGAATCTTTATGGCATTGCGACTTCACTCTCTGCTTAGATGCTACTTTCCTTTTTCTCTCTGTAGAATGGAAGACAAGGGTTATTGGCTTTGGCTTGCCAAAGTGAGTCGTTCTTTCCTGTTTGTATATATTGCGCTCGGATACGCTGTTCTTGAATCATGCGTTCAGAACTTCGTCATACATAGACCTTGCTTTGGAGAAGAATGGTGCGCTCAGGCGCTCCTCGTCCAGGTAAACGAAGCCGATCTATTCCCCCTTCTCCCCTGAGAAGAAACTCCGGGAGGCCGGTTGGAAACCATGCTGAATCTGCCCCTTCTCGGCAGCATACCTCTTCTTTGGTTACTCCTAGCCCCAACTTAGACACCAGCAGCAACATGAGTTTCTTGAATGATACCTCAACTGTGTCTTCACTCCCTGATCACTCATCTGGAGGCGGTCGGCCTGTGGCAGCCGGTGGGCTCATGGCCACATCGAGGAATTTCCAACAGCAAAGTGGCGGCGGAGGTGCACTGGATGTGCTAGGCCCTGCAAAGTTTGATCCTCGTGCGTTCACTTCGACTTCTCCCACAGCTCAGGGGCAACAGCCCCACAATCTCTATTCTAGTCGGATGTCTTTGGATCATTCACAGCCTGATCAGCTCAATATGATGCAGAATTATCAAGGATCATCCTCAATGCCTCACATGCAGAGGCAAACAGAGCTCAGGGAAGGGTTGGGAAATTTTGGCAGCGCCGCATTTGTTAACATGGAGCCTCAAAATGGTCCGCTACAGCATTCTCAGTCTCCGTGCCACACTGGTACTGTGAATTTGGAACCACACCAGGTGCACTCCGGTAGAGGCTTGGGCCCTGGTAAAATGGAAAGTGAACATTCTTATTCGGCACTGTTCCTGCAACAGCAGCAGGAGCAGCAGTTGTTTAAAAAGCCTAGGCCACGTCCAAAGGCAGCATATGAACATATTAGTATGCAGCAGCAACAGTTGCTTCAAATGCCTGGTCCACCTTCACAGGCAGCATCTGCACAGATTAGTCCACAGCAGCAGCAGATCCTTAGAAGCATACCTCAGCAACAAGACCAGTTGCAAGCTGTAGAACCTAAAGTAAAATCCACTCTGTATGAGCCTGGAATCTGTGCTCGACATTTGACCCATTACATGTATCGAAAGCAGCATAGGCCACATGTAAGCTTCTCTATTCCAAGACAGAAGTATTTGATCATCTTAAGTTGTTCATGCTGTGATTATTTATGTTTATCTTTCATTAGAATGCTTTCTCACACAATACAGGATAACAATATTGGGTTTTGGAGGGAACTTGTTGCTGAATACTTCACTCCTAATGCCAAGAGGAGGTGGTGTGTTTCTCTCTATGAAAATGGACCCCAAACTACTGGCGTTTTTCCTCAGGTATATTTTCTTGTTAAATTTTCAATACATGCTGTGAAAAATATTTTATATAACATTCTAGCAAATTTAAACTTCGGATGTCAATGGACTGGTTGCCATTCATATGCCTGGTGCACAACTTTTATTTTTCCCTCGTAAGGCTTGACACATAAATTGACGAATGCATACTTATAACTCTCCAGGATATATGGCAATGTGAAATATGTAATCGCAAACCTGCTCGTGGCGTTGGTATGTAATATTTTTATTACTTCCTATCTTGACTTTCTGTTGTTAAGTGGATAATCATTTGAGATCAGTATCCATGATATCATTTCTGTTGATGGAGCTTCATTACTTTAAAACTATGTTTTGTCATTTATTTGTTTTCTTTTGGTTATCTGTCTTTATATAGTGACAAATGTCGAAGTTCTACCAAGGCTATTACAAATCAAGTATGCTAGTGGTATTTTGGAGGAACTACTCTATGTTGATATGCCTCAAGAATATCAAAATGCAGCAGGTCAGATTGTCCTTCAATATGCTAAAGCAGTTCAGGAGAGTGTGTTTGAGCAGTTAAGGGTGGCACGTGAAGGTCACCTAAGGATTGTTTTCTCTCCTGAGCTGAAGGTATATATTAACTAGGAGGCTATCTTTGCATTACATACGATTCTTTTTCGAGATTCTGGTTTGTGTGATTTTGACAGTAGTAAATGTATTCATTTTCTGGATCTATGTTTAGATATGTTCCTGGGAATTTTGTGCTAGACATCATGAGGAGTTTATTCCTCGACGACTATTCATGCCTCAGGTATCAACTGATGCTTTTGTACAAATAACATGTGCTATCTTTGTTGTGATTTTGTTTTTGCATTGGCCTGCTAGTACACAATCTTATAGTCTAGAACCAGTGTAATGTGGTATCTACTTTTTAGGTAAATCGACTTAATGCCCTGGTTCAGGAATATCAGAATTCGGTGCAAAACTCAACTTTTGGTTTATCAGCTTGGGAATTAGAACGTACCTGTAAATTGTAAGTATGCTGTATCCACAATATTGGTTGTGCCTTTTAATCTCTTCATGGACACACTGCCTTCAAATTGCTATATTATTAATGTTAAATGACAAGTCCCTGATTTTCCCACTTTTCTTCCCTAGATATTAGATAAGTCTTAGGCATGTATCTAGATGTCCTTGCACCTTCCACAAGGCTAATTCAATTCAAGAGAAGTATGAAAAGTTTTAGAAAATCTTAGTTGAACCTCCATGACGTGTGGATCGATAATTCTTAACACCGTCCAAATTTGAGTAACAAGCAGATAAAAAAGTGTTGCACCTGAACCGAGGCAATAAATGTGTTTATCTGTTTGTGATATTGAATACTATTGCTGCTGGTTTTGTACTAGTTTCATCATAGCTTAGGGCTAATGGTGTATGCGCCAGCTTACTGTCTTTTTTCTTGCTGGGGCAACACACCTGCTTTCTTGCATACCTCACATATGCTTAACTAAAGGCATGCATGTGGATAAGCTAGGAACTTTCTCCACATTCCAGTAAAAGATCATTAGTCATTTTCTTGAGGTAACTTTCTCCATATTCCAGTAAAAGATCATTAGTCATTTTCAAGGTTACACTTTACTGCTTTCTAGTACTTCAAGCCTGGATCCGCCTAATACCTACTCATGACACTCAGAGCATACGTTATATCAGGCCTGGTACATAACATAGCATACATAAAAGACCCAATCGCTGAGGCACAGGGTCTCCTATCCATGTCTGTCCTTCTTCAAGAGTCTTTGAGGATATACTCTTAGAAAGCAATATCTCATGTCTCATTGGTATGAGACTTCTTTTGAAATTTTTAATGTC